GTTCTCTGTTTGGATACAGTACCAAGATTTAGGCCTTGTTCTCTGTTTGGATACAGTACCAAGATTTAGGCCTTGTTCTCTGTTTGGATACAGTATTGTATTGTATAGCAATACAATACCAGTGTATTGCTTGGTACTGTATCCAACAGGTAGTCTAACTCAAGCGCTTTCTTTGTTAAAATGATGAGGAAATAGAAAATGCCTTTCAACAATCGAGTTCAACATAATTTTAGCAAAGAAAATATCCAGGGAAAAGTCATGGCCATAAATACAAGCCCTGGAGTTAGACTTCCTCGGTACAATACCTAGTATTAATTACACTGCTGTGTGGCCCAGTAGGTTGTTAAAACGGCTTTTTAATAACAAGAAGTCATCATATTCAACCGATTTTTCTTTCTTTTTAATTAGTTGCATGATCCTTCCTTGGGGTTTGAACTGCTGTGCCCTCTCAAATCCTGTTTTCGCTCTGACAATCTGTGGTTCTTATGAATCTGAGTTGCAGTTCCCTTGCAATTAAGGGTGTTCAAATAGTCTCTCTCTTCATAGTGACCCTGTATAGAGTTTCAGAAGAGCAGCTGGTGGGTTTGAACTGCCGACCATGTAGTTCGCAGTCCAGTGCTGATCCTACAGCGTCACAGCAGGAAATTGCCTTTAGCAGAATGGAAATCACAATCACAATCTCCTCGCACCTCTCTCCTCCCAGGACCCGCTTTCAGGCCGGGTCGCTGATTGGCTGGACCTGATAAAGATGGGCGGGATGAGGCACTGTATGCTGGGTACCGCGTCCACCCTCCACCACGGAGAGTGAGACATTGGGGATCCCCACTCCGGTCTAAAGACCGGCGAGGCGGAGCCGCGCTGTTCAGAGAGCCCGAGTCGCGGCTGGGAGCCCGGGTCTGCAGGGGCGGGGCGTCTCGGGCGTCCTGGATAGGTGCGTCAGGAGCTGTCTCCCGTCGTGCACCGGGGCACCGGCGACTCACCCGGAAGGAGAAGCCACTATCCTGGCTATATGATAAGGTGCTGGCCGTGTTGCTGTGGGAAGTGGGAATTGCTTTCAGGTGAGGGGGCGCGGGCTTGTACGTCAGGGTGAGCGCCTGACCTGACATCCTGGGGAAGGGGCTGTTTTCACTTTGAGATGAAGAGGGTCCGAGTTCTAAAGTGTTACGTCTCTTTCCTTCCCTCTCTCCAACCTTAATAGGAGAAGAAGAGGAAGGGAGGTGTGGCCTTTTTGCTCCAGGTTAGTTAAGAATGGAGAGTTAGTAGTCTGAGTAAAGGGTTTGGGACGTTTACCCAAATAACTGGGAGCTCGGTGGCTCGATGAGCACTGTGAACCACAAGGTCCGAGTTTCGAACCCACCAGTCGCTCCACGGGTGAAAGATGAGGCTTGCTGTTCTATCCTAGTTTGCAGATGGTCAAAGGGATTTGCTTGGTTGAGTTTACCGAACTTGGTCGGGCAAGGGAGCTTCCTCTATGACCTGGGGATATTTAGGAAGGGGAGCATTTTGAGTTGGCATTTGCTGTCTGGCATTAAGGGCTCAAGAATGAGTAAGAAGGGATGGGAGGCTTGGGGGCTCAGTCTACTTCAACCACTTGGTTTGTTTTTAACAAAGTCTTGAATTGCTCCTTTGGATTGTTATGGCATTGGAAGGTTTTACAGCGAATCTAACAGCGAACAACTGGTTCTCCCCATCTGGAGCTAATGATGCTGGTTATAGGCAGAGAGAGTACAGGAAACTTCAGGTTGATTGAAAGGGCCCAGGAAATGTAGTTACCACTGAGTATGGTGGCCACTGACCCTGTCCTTATGTGGGTGACACACAGATCCATCCCCCAGATCATAAGGCAAAATTAAGAACTTCTGTATCCCCCTCTAAGGGCTGAGCTGAGCTTCGTTTTCTCCTGAGAAGTGATACCTATGGGGAGGAAACTGATGGAAAAGAGTAGTTGCTGGAAATTATTAGATTATAAGAAATTATTTGACTAGGTTTTTGTTTTAGTGTTTTAAAGGAAAGTTACAATAGAAATGTTCTTATTGCCTTCAAAACCTAGGATTAACTATATAACATCTTGCGGGCCTTTGTTTGTTTTTAAGTGCTGTCTCGTCGGTTCCGACTCAGAGCTACCCTGTACAGGGTTTCCAAGGCTGTACATTTTTGCAGGGGCAGAAAGCCTCATCTTTCTCCCATGGAGTAGTTGATAGTTTCGAACCGCCAACCTTTTGGTTCACAGTTCAGTGCTTATCCAACAGAGCCACTGTATTTAGCTACAGAAGGGACCCTAGGATAGTTTGAAGCCAATTGATAGCTATTTGTTTCTAAATGGTAAAATAATCCCCACAGAAAACAGGAACTTTAGCACAGAGGTGCCTTTGGTGCAGGGCCCTGGACAAACTCTTCTTTGAGCCCAAGAGAGTGAGATGACGATGACTATGTAGTTTCTAAATTATGGTCTTGAATTTGGTGGCTCTTTCAATGCACAGGGTATGAGTTGAGTTCATCTGAGTGTGTAGGTTACTATGATTTGCCGGTCGTCATCTTACTGGATTTCTGGTGTGGCACTGTAGGATCAGCACTGAACTGCGAACCATAGGGTCAGCAGTCCAAACCCACCGGCTGCTCCTTGGAAACGCTATACAAGGCTGCTATGAGTCAGAACCGACTCAACGACACATAACAACATTTTATTGGTTACTTCTAAGAACAGAGCTCTGGTAGCGTAGTGGTTACGAATCGGGCTGTGAACCTTAAGGTCAGCGGTTCGAAACTACCAGCTGCTCCATGGGAGAAAGATGAGGCTTTCTACTCCTGTAAAGATTTACACCCTCGGAAACCCTATACAGGGTCGCTATGGGTCGGAACCGACTCGATGGCACATAATAACAACAACAAAGAACAGACTTTTTAGAATATTGGACTCGCCGGTCCCAAGCTGGCAATTTGCCAAATACCTGGAAAGAGAAGTGAAAAAGCAAACTCCCAAACTGAAGAGGTTAATTGTTCACAGCAAGTTTGTCTGCTGTTTTCATTCACAGCCATCTGGGATAGTAAACATCAGTTGTTATGGAATTAGGATTTCCTACCTTTTAGTTTGTATCCCTTTGAGTTGGTGGCTGCATCAGACAAAAATCAGATTGTCAACAAGAATGTTGTTTGAGGTGGTAGCGAACTCATAAACCCTTGGGTTTGCACAGTCCAATGTTGTTATATGCCATGCCGCCATGTCTCCGTGTGCAGTGTCTATCTGTGGAGAGACCTTCTGGTTTATTGGAAAGAATTGGAAAAGCTGTTTGCTCTGCTAATTTTGTGGTGTAAATGAGTTCCCCTTCTTGTGAAATGTTAGCCTTGTGTTAGCAAAACATAAAATAGAGGGAAACTCATTATACACTCTTTTAATGGTAAGGCAGAACTAATAAGAGAATGTGTTTGAAATTAATTGTGTGACTGTAAAAATGAGTGGGTGTGCGAATGGGGGGTGGGGAGGGGAGGGGCGAGGGAGAGCGTAGAGATAGTCTTGTTTCCCCAGGAGCTAGCCTGGATCATTTGTTGGCAGTACATTATTGGCTGAAGTCAGTTTTCATTTCAAGGTAAATTGGAAAGGGAAATTAAACCTTATTGTTCCGCTCTTAAGAGAGGAGAAGGGGGTGGAGGCAGCAGCCTGGTGAATGCTGTTGGAGTAGTTCTAGGAGTAACAAGATTAGTGCTGTATTTTAACAGAAGGTGACATCATGGGCCCCCATGGACTTGAGTAACCCTGTGCTACAGCCTTCATGGTCCCCTTGTTGGAGTGGGCGATGTCACTGCACATGGAAATGGCCACATTGGGGGAAATCAGAGGCTTAGGCTTTAATGAATCTTTACAAAGGAGCGGGAAGCGTCCTGAGGCGACCTGCGCAGCTGTGGGGCACTTGAACAGAGGTACAAACTGGATGGCATGGTGAGAGAAGAAATGACGAGGACAATTGGCTCAGGTTGCAGAGAGTGGGAAGGTCGAAACTTGGCAACCTATTCAGGTGCTCTCCTGGGAGTGCCCAGCACTGTGATTCACACGTGGGGACAGACGTGACTGTGGTTAGCAAGACAAAGAGAGACTCAGCACTGTGGTGTGGTGTTTGTGGGGGCTTGCTGTTTTGCAACAGCCGGGAGGGGGCGATGTTAGGTGAAATTTCAAAGGTGTGCTTTATGTGCACACCAGGCTTGGCTGTGTCTGCAGACCACACAGCAGAAAGCCTTTACAGGTGAACTTACCTGCTTGTTCTGGCTGCCGGGGACAAACAGTCTGCAAACCCCAATGTGCTTTGGGCAGAGGTGGCCTAGTGGAGAGTCCTGAGAAAGGAGGTAAATCCTCAAGGCTTTTTAATTTAGCACTGAACTAATGTGGGAATGGTTATTTTCTTTTGCTTCCTCTTAAGTTTGACACAGAATAACAACAAAAAAAGTGGCCTGGGTTTCCCCAGGGGGGTCTTCTAAAAACTGTCTAGGGTTTTGCCCTGGTGAAGGATAAATAGAGGCATACTAACTGTGAGTGTTCTCTGTGTCCTTTCCTCACCAGATATGTTTTCTTCCAATGGGCTTTTGGTGTAGGATGTTGGAGAACCAAGAGCAGGAGGTAAGAGTGTTGTCTCCAGGGAACAGGTGGGTAAAAGTTAGGAGATTTGGGGAAAGGGAGGGCACAGATAATTAGAAGTCATTGTTCCATAGTTCTCTGCCCACATAATACTTTGGTGGTTCCAGTGAACTGGGAGAAGGAAATCATTAGCACAAACATTGCTGGGAAATGAAGTTCCACTTTTACTAACTTTTCAATTGGGTAGAATGTTCTAGAATGTAGCCTCATTAAGGGACAGATTTTTGTCTCATGTTCATGCTTTGTGCCTAAAATAGTACCTAACACATAGTAGGTGCTTCATAAATACCTGTTGAATCGAATGACTCAAAGTAAATTGGTGCTATCTGAGTGGAAGAATCTGGTCGGTCACCTTTGTTACCTTACTGTGAGACTGAGCCGAAGCTGAAGGAACATTTTTTAACTATAGGAGGTGATCACTGTGCGTGTTCAGGACCCCCGCATGCAAAATGAGGGCTCGTGGAATTCTTATGTGGATTATAAGATATTTCTCCATGTAAGTACATCAAGCTTCTGCATTGGAGTCAGCCCACTTCAGGACTGAGTGCCAAGGCAGAATAGTGTTTGTGGGTGTGTCTGCTGGGCTAGAGATAGACGACTTAAAAGGAGGGAAGAGAGGCGCGAGAGCTTGGGGTAAGCCAGAGAGTTGCTTTTGGGGCTGCCTGGTAGCACCAGCTCTCCTCTGAGCCTCTGACCAGGGAGGTGCAGGCTCTGGTGCTCAGAGTGCGCGGTGATGGGGAATTCACATAAACTTGGCACTTTCTCACGGACCCCTTTTCTTGTACTCCTCCTAAAGACCAACAGCAAGGCCTTTACTGCTAAGACGTCCTGTGTGCGGCGCCGCTACCGAGAGTTTGTGTGGTTGAGAAAACAGCTACAGAGGAACGCGGGTTTAGTGTGAGTGTGCCTCTTCTTCCTTCTTAGATCTGAGGCTGCCTTTCACTTGCTTAGAAAGCACGGTTTCCAATGAAGATTTATCAGGCACTAAGGAAATTGGAAAATGTGCTCTTAAAAGCTATGCCTCCAAGTCAGTGGAAGACGCAAAGATGATGGCGTTCTCTTTTCTAGTATTTGACCTAATAAAGTCATAGAAGGAGCAGCAAGTTTTTTCCTTTTTATATGCATGTTGTTGTTGTTGTTAGGTGTCATCAAGTTGCTTCCTACTCATAGTGACCCTGATAGGGTTTCCGAGGAGCTGCTGATGGTTTGAACTGCTCACCTGTGGTTAGCAGCCCAGTGTTTATCCTACAGCACCATACTAGGATTTCATCTGCATGCTAGTCTAGGCTTAAACAAATGTACGCTGATATTTTTAATGTGCTTATTACTGGCTATCGGAAACGTTTAAGCACGTGGACTTCATTTGACAGGTAAGGTTCCTGTCTATTTGAAATATAAAAAAGTACGCTTTTTCTTTTCTTTCTTTAATTTGGTATAGAGCGCCTCTCTAGGTACATACCAGACTGAGAACGTCAGGAAGGCCGTATTGCTCCTCACCCACACCCTTCAGAGAGGCCCTATAGGTGGAGAGAGTTACAACAGTGACTCGGCCTCAGGATGGCCTGCTGAGTGACCTTGCCAGTCATGTGTGGGGCTGACGAGGCCGCTGCCCTCAGCCAGTTAGGGCTCCCCCAGTTTCTCAGGAGATCCCGTACCCTCTAGCCTAGCCTGCTGTTCTGTCAACAATTGTGCTGGGAGGTTAAAGAGTTTGTGGATGATTTGCTGCAACTTAACAATTTTCAGAAAATTCCAAGCATGTGGCACTGGAGTAAGTCAAGTAGTATTGTAGTGTTTACAAAGCATTCTCCTCGGCCCCTGTACAGGTTTCTTTTTAATATAAAAATTGATGATGAGAGTGGGGTTTGTGAACAATGTAGTGTCCCTTTCCCATCACGGGCTTTATAATTACGGACTCAGTTCAAATATCAGCCCCACTACTTACTGTGTGACACTGGGGATTTTCTTAACCTCTCTTATCTTATTTCCTTAATTGTAATGTCTTTCTGGAAGTCTGAATGGAAAAATGCCTCTCTTCAGAGCTGTTGTTATTAAGTTCCAACTCATAGCAATCCTGTATAGAGTTTCTGAGGAGCGGCTGGTGAGTTTGAACTGCAGTTCAAATCAACCTTAAGGTCGATTGCTTATCCTGCAGTGCCAGCCCAGACTCCCTCTTCAGGGCACTCGTTATTAATGTCTTTCTAGGAGAAGTACTGGACTGCTAACCCAGGGTTGATGGTTCAAACCCACCAGCTGCTTCTCAGAAACCTTATACAGTGCTGCAACCACCTTGAGGGCGCTTAACAATGACAACAACATCTTTATTACAGGAGGCTTAAATGAAATAATGGAAATAATGTTTATAGAACATTTAACACACGGCCTAACTCATGGCAGAGTGTATCTAAAAAACTGAGCGTATGGATCTGAGTCTCTCTTCAGGGGATTTCCGTGATCAGGGACTGGAATGACTGTATACTTATCTTGATGTGACCCCCAGGCCTGTCCCTGAACTTCCTGGGAAGTCACCCTTCTTTGGTAGCTCCGATGAGTTCATTGAGAAGCGACGACAAGGTCTGCAGCTCTTCCTTGAAAAGTGAGTGTGTGTGATGGGCCAGCACTGGGCCCCGGACCCCTTCACGTAGGGAGGTGTGCTTGTGGGGGACACCTTTCTGGCATTCTCACACCTCCAGCACTCACTCAGACTAGAAGCCCCTCAGAGGACGGGGCTGGAAAGCAGCTCGTCAGGGGGATTCTCTGTCTTGTACCATGTGTGTTTGTCCCAGGGTCTTGCAGAGTGTGGTCCTCCTGTCAGACAGCCAGTTGCACCTCTTTCTGCAAAGCCAGCTCTCAGTGCCTGAGATAGAAGCCTGTGTGCAGGGCCGGAGCCCCCTGACTGTTTCTGATGCCATTCTTCACTACGCTATGTCTAACTGTGGCTGGGCCCAGGAAGAGAGGCAGGGCTCTTCTCCCCTGGCGAAAGGAGACCAGCCCAAGAGGTAACTGTAGCTTGCTTTTTGACACACTAGGGGCTAGGATTATGGTAACCTGGGCCACAGAGGCAGCCATTTGATGGGAAAGGGATGTACCAGAGTTGATGATCTTCAAAAGAGACCTCATTCACTGTGCGCATGGTTCTTCATCCTGAGTGGGTCTGTACTGACCCTGCACTGTAGCCGGGATTCCTGCTAAACCCTGGGGGAAGAAAGACGAAGGCTTTCTTTATTCCTTCCCCACACCACCTCCTCTTTTAAAGTATAAAAAAATAAATAAGAGTTGTATTAAGCTATAACTCCCATGCCATAAAATTCAGCTCTGGTAGCATGGTGGGTTACAAGTTGGTCTCCTAACCAAAAGGTCTGCAGTTCGCAACTAGCAATCACTTTGGGGGACAAAGATGAGACTTTTGGCTCCTGTAAAGATTGTTGTTAAGTGTTGTTGTTGTTAAGTGCTGTCGAGTTGATTCCAACCCATAGCAACCCTGTATAGGGTTTCTGAGGAGCAGCTGGTGAGCTTGAACCACCGACCTTGCAGTTCAAACGGCTTTGCAGTCTGTTGCTTTAATCCACAGCACCACACCAGGACTCCCCCGTAAAGATAGCTTCTGAAACACTTCAGGGTCGCTATGAGTTGGAACCAAGTCTATGGCACATAACCACCACTGTAAAAATTCACCTTTATAAAGTGTAATACCTGTAAACAATCAAACCCCCCACGGCCAGTTCTGTTTCATAGCGATCCTATATGGGGTCAGTCCTAGTACATTCCCCAAGTTACACAGCCATCACTCAGGACATTCCACTTGAGCATGTTGTCCTCACCCTTACCCATTAGCAGTGACTCCCCACCCTCCTCGCCCTGGCCCCTGGAAACCACTAGTCTGCTTTCCGTCTCAGGATTCGACTGTGCTGGACATTTCAGAGAAATGAAATCATGCACTATGTGGTCTCTTGTGACTGGTTTCTTTCACTCTGCATGTTTCCAGGGTTCCTCCACATTGTAGCATGCATCTTCCCCTCACTCCTTTTTATGGCTGGATAATAGCCCATTCTATTGTGTGGCTAACCACCATAGGGATAGCCAGTTTTGCTTGTCCATTCATGCCCTCCCTCTTGCTTTCCCAGTTGCTGCTTTCTTCCCAGAGCTGGTAGGAGGAACTCGCCATCACCACCACCCAGCGAAGAGAAGGACTGTTTAGAAGTGTGGGCTCCTGTTGTTGACTCTGAGGCCCCTTCCTTAGAGAGTCTCACTCCCCCAGCGCCCTCCTCACTGGCACACTGTGATTTTGCAAGACCTGATGAGGAAGACTCTGCTACTCAGCCTATGAGGAGGGTCGTGGGAGGGGACCAGTCAGCCCCCTTGTCTCACATTGTGCCTTTGGACCCTGGTCAGTTAGAAACAGCCTGGGAAAAGTGAGCTCTGTTTTGAGCTCTGGGTTCAGTTCCAAGGAGGCTGGAGGAGACGCAGGCAGGGAGTGGCTCATGCCTGGTACTGGGCCGGGGCTGGGCGGGACAGGTTGGGCTGCTTTGCCCCTTATGTTCTCTGTCCTCAGCTTGGTTGCACACAGTCTGTCCTGACAACTCTGTGTTGCCGCCATAGAAAGAAATGCTGCACAGCTGTTTGTAGGTTAAGCATAAGGCCTCGGGGCTGTTGGCTTTAAACAGAACCCTGTATTTACTCTCCTGGGAACTGAGTTTCTTCAGATACATGTTTGTTCTTCAGGAGCACTGCCTCAGGTGACTGGTTTTGGGGACCTGGAAGTGGCAGACACTAAGCTGTCACCTAGAGTATCGTTCCAATAGGAATGTGTATGTAGTTGTATTCCCCTCTTTGCTGGGTTCTGTTCTGGCTGCAGCTCCTAAAGCACTTTGTTCCCTGAGGCTGACCTCTTGCCTACCTCCTTGCTCAGGGAGGATGGTGCGTAGTTAACTCTTCCCTCTGCGTGGCCTCCCCGACTCACCCCACTGAAGGGGACCAGGCAGGAGCTGTCTGCAGCCCGGCTTGGGCCTGGATCCATCCACTTAACATCTCACAGCCATCATGAAAGAGAAGTGGTCAGTCCCAGGCAGTGGGGAAAGGACTGTCGCTGTGGCTGTGGCTGTCTCTTCTGCAGGGTTGGAGCTGGCTCCTTTTTGTGGGAAGGCTTTCTTCTCCCTTAGTAACAGCTCTCTGCCCCTGGGGTTTCAGCCACCATAGTGCCCCTCTGCCATGTTGCAGGGAGGCCGTATGTTCAGTCCAGTGGGGCACGTGAGCTTTGTTTTTGCCTCTGTAAGTGGGCTCTGGGGACGGAGGTGAGGAGCAGCATGCCTTCCTCCGGACAGTGAGGCAACCTGCTCTCCTGCTGCCTTCACTCCTCTCCACTGAGAGCCGGAGCTGCTGGGAGTGCTGCCGACCACCACCAGCATTCTGCAGTTCCGCACGGATGTTTCCCCAGCCGCTCCTCCCTCCTCTGGCCAGCCCACCCAGTCTGGTCCAGGGGCCCTTTTACTCCCAGCCTAGGCTGTGGGGCTCTCATGGCATTTACTTCAGAGTTGAGGGGTTTTGGCCTGAAATAAAATTCAAGTATTTAAGACTGTTGTTGCAATTTGTGTCTAACAAGCTGTAGCAGAGAAGGAGGGAGTGAGGGCTGGCCGTCGTTACTTTCATAAATCATGAATTTATCAGCGTGGAAATAATGGTCCAGAGCCGCGCACTGCAGCTCTCCTGTGTTGTGTGTGTGTGTAGCTCAAGTTCGCCACCAGGAAGGCTCGCCTTCCGAAGAGCCAGGCTCCAACTCTTCTCACAGTTTTGGGCATGAACCTTGTTAGGTATAATTTACCTAACGCTGCTTCCATCCTCACAGCCTGTCTGAGGTGCCAGGTGCTGAAAGAAAAGAAAGTTTGTCAACAGGCAGATGCAAAGCCCTGGCTGGTGCTCATCCCTCATCCCTGCCCGCCTCCCCTGTGCCTCTGCTTTCTGTGATGCAGCAGAGCAAGGCGACGCTCGCAAACCTACAGAGGCAAATCCAAAATGTCAGAAGAAGTTCATTTAAAAGGGGAAAAAACTCCATACGCAACCCTCACAAAAAACTCGACAGATGCTAAGCTAATGGCATCCGCTCTGCCGATTGGTGGGGATGGTTCATGAATATTAATGAGTCCAATGCTCCAAATGGTGCAGCTGTGAACCCAGCTGTGCCTGAAGCTCTCTGATCTCGAAACTTCCAGACAGGAGCCGGAGGTGGTCTGTGTCAATTCCCTACTCAGCCAAAAAACAGCAAGCTGGGCTAGCCTTCTTCTGTTCTCACCGTTTCTTGCTGGAGTTGGTGCTCAGCAGCTTATTCAGCCAACAGCGTAGGATGCTGGGACAGCAGGAGCCATTCAAAGACATGAACGCAATTTTTCTGACTCTCGGCTTTTTTAATGATCCATTAGCAGCAGTGCCTACAACAGCACCTCAGTCTAAGGCCAGGCGCCATCCCCTTGCAGTCTGGGCAGAGTTGTGTGTTGGCCATTGGAGGGGATGTCCTGAGAAGGGCAAGAGTATTTCTAATGCAGGCTTGGGGGTTGCCAGGCGAGAATCCCCACGTTAGTCCTCTCATGGCCCGCTCTGTCCCTGTGCACTTGGGCCAGACTCCAGGGCTGATGACCTGCATATGGAAGATGGAGAGCTGAGGGGTTTCTTAGCGGATATTGTTTCAGACAAGTTCTGTGCCAGATGTAATTGCCTTTCTTCTGACAGCCAAGCCTGGTCACCTATGGTCAATGCGTTTGGTTCAGTGAGAGGAAGGATGTGGCAGGGGGTTGAGTTTAATATAATCCCTTTCATATGAGTCCTTTGATGTGCTCTTCACAGCCCCCAGTGAGGAAGGCACAGCAGGAATTATGCTGATTTTCTATCTGAGGAAATGGAGTTTGGTTTTCTCCAAGTATGTTTTTAAAGGCTATAGAGTATATTCAGGTGAGAGAGTTTCAAACTCTGAAAAACAGGGTTTTTTTCTATATATAAAAAATGTGAAGCTCACCGTGACTCAAGGAAATAATTCCCTGCAGTATTTTAGATTTGTTCTCCAGTTTTCTACTGTTAAGGACTTTGATCTTTAAATCCCTGGCACCCCCACCCTCCCTGGTAGCTTTGCTTTGGTGTGATGGTGACCTTTGGGGCATTAAGGTAGGTCCATGTTTGAAAGTGAACTTGTTTATATGCTTAAACTCCTGCTGAGTGTTTTTAACATCCTACGGGTGGGAAGGCCAATGGGCCCAGAAGATGCAAGGTGGGGTTGATGGTAGACATGGGAATGGAGCAGCTCCTCACCTGCCTGCCTCACAGAGCTGTAGGAGCATTCTGTCGGGCTGGAGTGGCATCTGCAGATTTATGTGTGAGCAGCCAGCTGAGACGCAGCGAAAGTCAAGCAGATAAGCACCGCAGCTCGAGATAACTGCTCCTCAGTCAAGCACTGGGCACTGATCCTAAGCTGCTCCCCCCCTGAGGGGGGTCACTGCTGTAGAAGGCACCGACCGGCCTGCTTCAAGGTAACCTTTCTTTAGACCATGGATGAGTGGCTCCCTTCCTACTCTTCCCACAAGACTCCTTCCTAACAGTGCCCTCAATTCATCTTGGAAACCCCTCGTCCACCTCCTATCTCTCATTTAACTTCTTGTCCTGTCTCTTCTCTCAGACTGTCTGGAGAACTGATCCTGAAACCAAGTGTGCATTTGGCTTACCAACAAGACAGTAAGAGCCCGTCCTAGTAACTGACATAGTATTATAGAGAAATTATTTGGAAGGACAAGACAGTTCCATGTTCGCTATGGCTGGTTTTGGAGTTGGAGGCCTCAAATCTCAAGATTATAATGAACATGAAAAATTCATGTTCACAAGGAGACCAGAGATGAGTACTCCTGACTCCGAGCAGAGAGTGAGTAGTTGTATGGTCTTTTGTTCAGAGGAGATCTGGTCGACTTCTACCAGTGAAGGAGAAAAACAAGGAAGAAATGGGCATATGGAGAAAAGGCCTGGCACGAGAGGGAGTAACACTACAGCGGGAGATGTTTATTTTCCCTCAGAGGGGGAGGAACAGAGATGCTTCTGGAATCAGGACTGTGGGAAGCCACCAGTCAACATTTTTTCTGCATGGCTGTCAGGCCCTTCCCATCCCCAGCGATTGCTCATACTATTGGTTTCCAAGGGCCCAGTCTGTGTAGATCCTCCAGTAAGAGTTCGAGCCCGGTGTGTGCCCCTTACCTTGGCAGCCTCACCCAAATCCTCCTGGGAAACAGGCCCAGAATGGTGAGAGCCCAGTACAATTGTTGGAGGCAATACAACCTGCCTGCTATAAGCTACGAGACTTAGATATATTCTACCAATTAGGGCACATCTGTTCACACTGCTGAAAGGCGGGCACTGTCTCTTTAAGAGCCTCCCACTCCTCTCCTTGAGTGATGAGGGCTGGGGGCACAGGGGAGTCAGATGCTGATTAAACAGTCCTACTGCAGAGCTCTGTTAGAAAATTACTGTAATTATGATCTAGTCCCAGCAGAGGGATGAGTTCCAATCCTGCTAATAACCCTTCCAGGTGCCTCAGACTTGGGGCCCACGGGAGGCAGCATCGGCAGGGCTCTGGTTGGCACCAAGACCATGACGATGGCCTTCCTGTCTGGCCTGTCAGGGAAGGACAACAAAGGCACAGGACCCACATCCTCTCTTGACTTCCTGAGAAGGCAGTGGGTTTTTGTTTTGGTTCTCAGCAGAGCTCCTGGGAGTTCTTTGGAATGAGAAAATGTCTCCTGATGCTCACATGAAGGACCAGCAGTGAGATGGCAAGTCTGTCCTGAATCTCCCACTCCTGCCTGGGGATTGCCGGCAACACCCCAACATACAGCAGGCTCGCCAGCCCCACCAGTGCGAAGTCAAGGGAAGAGGAGCAGCCTGTCCCCGCTGCAGCCATCTCTGGCTGCTCTGTTTTTGTGACCCTGTGTTTCTTGCTCTTGAAGCAGGGGTCCTGATTGAGAACTTTAGTGCTCCCCATGTAGGCTTCTGCCATAGGAGAGGAACAGCGGGAGAGTAATTACACACTGTCTGGACTCCAGAGCCTTGCTCTAAAGTAGCAAGTATGGTTTTACATACGCAAATGCACCATTTTCATAGGCCATGACTAAAATCTGCAGCAGCGTGGGTGAGCAAGTCTCAGAGACGTTGGTGGGCCACAGGCTGACTTGCTGACTCTTAACGCTGAGGAAGTCGTGGCATTCATACTCTACCTGGCCCGGCCTTTTGCTTCCCCTCCCACTGTAATCCTGTGACTTAGGCACATGCTAAGCATACCCCAGATGCCCTAAAACAGTGGTTCTCAACCTGGGGCAATTTTGCACCCCAGAGCACATTTGGCACTGTGTGGAGATGTTTATAGTTGTCACAACTGGAAGAGGAGTTGCTAC